TGAAGAGTCCACAGGCCCTCAGCAGACAAATTGCCCAGCCAGGCACAGTAGATGGGGACAGACTGGATGAGAGGCTGAGACCCATGTGTGCATGAAGACAGAATCCAGAACCTGACATGTCAGACCCAGGCAGAGGTTGCCCAGGCCCAGCCCACTGACCCAACACCCAAGTGCCCCCCAGGGAAACAAAGGGCAGTGGTGCTGGTCACCAGTGGCTCACACCTGTAATCGTACTACTCAGGAGGCTGAGATCTTAAGATCTGGTTTGAAGCCAGCTCAGGCAGGAAAGTCCATGAGACTCATCTGCAATTAACCTCTGAAAAGCTGGAAGTAGACACGTGGCTTGAGTGGTAATATGCCATTCTTGGACCAAAAAATCAAGGGTGCACCCTGGTTCTGAGTTCAAGCCTCAGTATGGGCAAACTCACATACACAAAAAAACAACAAACAAAAACCAATCACAGCTGGGCGCCAGTGGCTCACGCATGTCATCCTAGCAACTCAGAGGGCTGAGATCTGAGGATCATGGTTCAAAGCCAGCCGGAGTAGGAAAGTCCGTGAGACTCTTATCTCCAATTAACACCAGATAATTGGAAGTGGTACTGTAGCTCAAGTGGTAGAATGCTCATCTTGAGCTAAAGAGCTCAGGGACAGCACCCAGGCCCAGAGTTCAAGCCTCACAACCCCCAAAAACAAAACAAAAAACCAATCACACAGGGCTGAGAATGTGGCTTGTGGTAAAGTGCTCGCCTGCCCTGGATTCAATTCCTCAGAACCACATACGCAGAAAAAGCTGGAAGTGGCGCTGTGGCTCACGTGGTAGACTGCTAGCCGTGAGCAAAAGAAGCTCAGGGCCAGTGCCCAGGCCCTGGGTTCAAGCTCCAAACCAAAACAACAAATCACACAAACAGGGACAGTGGGAACAGTGGCCCCCAGTCAGGGCAGCAAGCAAGAAAGGGAGAAAAAGAGAGAGGGGGAGGGGAGAGGAAGGGGGAGAGGGGGAGGCCGAGGGGGAGAGGGAGGAGACCCACACAGCTGGAACAGTCCTGGCCTGTGGGGACAGAGCAGCTCCCTCCCCCACGCCTCCACATCATGGGGTCGGTTCAGGGAGAGCCTGGGAGGAGCCATCTCCTTTCCCAGGTCCAGCTGTAAGAACCCCTGCAGGGCTGAATTTCCTCAGAGGAAATTCTCAGGACCTAAGCTGGGGAGGAGAGACTTAAAGGAAAGAAAGGTCAAAGGAGAAGAGGGACAGCAGAGGAAGTCCCTCTCCACTGACGGCTCCACTAGAGACTGTCCGTAGCCCCCCAAGTCCCAGCCTCAACCCTGCCAATTTACAGTTCACCTGTACCCACTTCTGAGCTGATCTCAGAAGGCGGGAGGTACAGAGGACACAAAACCCTCCTCCACCGGTATCTATCTGTTCCTAGGAAACAGAGGTGTACAGGTGGGCAACATAGCTGTGCTGCCTGCCAGCCTGGGTGGCTGATGCAGCCCAGTGGGGAGAAGGCCACTAGACCTCAGACAGTGGTCGGAGAAGGGCCGGCCACACCACGCAGGGCCTGCTCCCGGCTCCAAGGTGAGCCCCGTGGCCCACAGGTGGAGGCAAAGCTGTTTCTACAATTGTTGGGTGGAGGCAGTGAAGGGACCGCCCCTTCTATGCGGGGGACGCGGGAGGGCCAGTGGCTGGACCTCCAGCCCTGCAGCTGCCTCTCAACGCTCCCTCAGCAGCCTCCTTCCCTTCTCCCCCTACACATCAGCCCTTGGGGATGCGCAGAAGCTCCAGGTCCCGGCCAGCACCTGACCAGGTGGGCTCAGGCAGGCCCCAACAGAGTCTGCTCCCTCCAGCACTGGCTCCAGAGACGCATGTAGACAGGGAGGTGGGAGGTCCAAAATAACTTTTCCACTTCCAACTGTGAGGAGGTAAGGTGGGGCTTTTATCTGGGTGGGTATGGGGGACTGGGGTGGGTCTGGAAAAAGCCGGGAACCACTGCCAGTAGCTCAGTCCTGCCCCTTTTCCTGCCTAAAGTGAGGTTACCCCTATAGAAACTCCCCCTCCACCTGCCAGCACAGGGCTGCCTCAGGGACCCCAGGTGCAGGCAAACACTCTGCCTTTCCACCAAACCTTCCTGGTAGGTAGAAGAAGCCCCTCCCTCTGTGAGGGGGGCAGATTCTGGGTGGCAAGCCTCCAGGGCCAGCAGCCTGGAGCCTGGGCCTGTCTGCAGGAGCCCTCAAGAGCTCTGGGTAGAGAAGAAGGTGGTAGAGAAGCCATCTTCCCCCTTGGCAGAAGGAACTGGGGGAGCTGAGCGTGCCCAGAGGGCCATCCTTTACAATTCAACTGCAGCCGATAGCCTAGGAGGCCCCAGTGCAGAAAAGTCAAGTCTGGAGGGCTTGGTCCTGCTCCAGTGTGCCCGAAGACTGCTCTCCATAGGCTCTGGTCAGCTGGCATGGCAGGGAGGAAGGGCGCAGACAAAACCTGACTGGCCAGGCCAAACTGGGGAGCATGGCTGCCAAGACCCCCAGCTTCAGGGCTGGGCAAGGCCAGTCTGGGCAGGTGCCAGGCTCACTCAACCCTGGCCCCCTGCCCTGTTTCTGGGCCAGGCCCCAGCAGGGCAGACAACACTTCCTTTCTGTTGCAGGCTCTTAAGGGTGGGGGACAGGCAGCAGCTAGGCCTACATCCCTCTTGGGGGCTTCCTGGAGGTTCCAGGCCCAGCCTTCCAGAGGTGAGGTAAGAAGGCTGGGAGGGACTCTGAGCAACTCCCACCTAGCAGAGTAGGTGCCCAGGCTGGCCGTGCCACTCCTGACAAAGCAGTAGCTGGCGCGCGCGTGCGCGCATGTGTGTGTTCCCTTCTGGAAGGAGCAATAGCTTTCCCTGCCCAAAGGTGGCGCAGAGGGAGGGGCACATACCTGTCTCAGCTATGCCAGGAATGTAGTTCCCCAGGCAGAGGACTAGGGGGAGGAAGAAGCCTTCCTGGAGGCTGGAGGAAGGGCTGGATGAAGATTCCCAGATTCCCACACCAGGAAGCCCTCATTCTGCACCACTGAGGGTTGAACTGGTGTTGGGCCCAAGGGGCAAAATGTGAAGGAGGGGTCAGCTGCGTGCAGGTCCTGTGGCTGACCGGCCTCTACAGTGAGGACCTGGGGTAGTGTCCTAGGAACAGCACATGGCCCCATCATCTACACCCACCCAGTGTGGGATGGTGACAGGCATGTCACTCCAGGAGGCTCAGCCTCCCCTCACCCTGTCCCGTGCCCTGCTCACCTTCCATGATACCCTGGTCTGCTTCAAAAATAGATCCAAGTCATTTCTCAGAGCTTCTGGGGGCCCCAGTCCCTTACAGAGGAGCGGAGGATCCTCACTCTGTCCCTGCTCTCTGGGCTTCTCTCCCCCACTCCCCCACCCCCGCCCCACTGCAGGTCTGCAATTATACCTCCCGGGATGGGGGACAGCACGGCACTCTCCGCTGGCCACCCACTGGTCTGTGGGACCAGACTGGCCTGAGTGCCAGACACCCACAGCAGGACCTCCACAGTAGACAGTGCACAGCCACCGGGGAGAGGTTTTCCCTGGGGACCTCCTTCCCTCTGGTTCTACGCAAGCATTCCCATAGCCAGAGTCAGGCGAGCTGCTGCTTCTTTTTTTTTTTGGTGTTGGGGCTTGAACTCATGGCTTCACACTCTCCCTTGGCTTTTTTTGCTCAAGGCTGTCAAGCTACCACACGAGCCACACCTCCACTTCCAACAGAGTGGGTTTTGACAAGATGCTGGACCTTGTTCTACCCAGAGTGACCCTCCTACTCTGTGACCTCCGACTCTAGGGTAAGTCCTCCATTACTGAGTCATGGACCCTCCAGCTGGACCTACCCAGCTTTAGAGTTAATGATTTGCCTTTTTGATATTATAGGGACAAAGGGACTGTCAGCCCCTCCTTAGCTCCTACTTGACCCGAAGTCAACCTCATGGCCTCCTCTGCCCCTATGCTCCAGCCAGAACGTTCCCCAGCCACAAGTCTCCAGACTGGGCGATATGAGCCAGTGCTGAGCAGGGTCTGACACAAAGGGCCTGGAGGCAGCCTAAGAGCAGGTGACCACAGCTAGGGAGAAAGGCCACAGAGCGCCCACTCTGGTCCTATCTCCCCTGTAGTGTCCCCAAGGCAGCACTGAGGCAGAATCCCAGAGGCACCCTACAGGAGCCAAGCCAGGGTCAAATCACAAAGGCATGTGGGAGTTAAGACTGCCTCAGTGGCCAACAGCGCACAGGAGAGGGCCCAAGGTCACGAGGCCTGCCACTGCCTTAGGAAGGAAGCTTTGCTGTTTCCAGTCCTACACTCCTTTCCAGGCATCCCTGGGAGGACAGGATGTGGGGAGCTGCCGCTCAGCCACTGTCACTAGCCACGGGTCTCCATCTCCAAGAGAGGACGAATGTGGTTCTGGTCACCTCCCAGAGGTGAGAATACTCACCCCAGAAACCATCAGCCCGCCAACACACTGCACTGCTCCTCCCAGGTAATCCTGTGCTCAGCTGCACAGGACTGCTTAAACATGTGGACCTGATCTAGACAAGACTTTGGACATCTGCAAGACCAGGACAGCTGGTATCCATTCACCTGGCCCAGCTTATCCCCTAGAAAAGAGGGAGTGTGGAGAGCTGGGAAGGAAGAGGGGGTGGGGGAGAAGCAGAGGAAGCCTTCGCAGGGCTGTAAACTTGCTTTGGCTTTCATTTACTGAAGACAGTTGATGTCAGAATTTGGGGCTGCTGACCTCGGCATGGCTAGATACGTAATGGGGAGACCAGAAAGCCAGAGTCAGGGTGGAGCGGAGTCAAGCATCAAGACAACAAGTGCTCCTCCTCACAGCGAACTCTCTTCAGCAGCTCCCCCCAACCCCCACCAGAGTTTTCACTCACCCTTTCCAAGCCTGCTCCTCTGCCTATACCTGTTGCTCCCTCTACACCTACCGTCACTGCTGCGGGCCCCTGCCGGCACCCCACCACCACTACGCACCTTCTACACAGAACTCCACCTCCTCCAAGTTCCGCAGAGTGATCCGCATGAGGCTGGAGTTGAGCATCAGCTCATTCTTGTGAGCTGGCCACAGGTAGGGAGGTGCCGGGTTCACAAAAAAGATCCTGGTGTCTCCAGTGGACACTTGGTTGTCACAGATGAGGGGGTCTCCAAAACCGCTGATCACCACCTTGTTGCCACCATCCAGCAGGTTCTCCTGGGCCACGATATCTTTGCCTTTCAAGTACCGCCAGACACGAACCTGGGGGCAGATGTGGGGGCAGGTGTCATTGTCCACCTCCTACTTGAGGAGGAGTGCCAGACTAGGGCCTGGGTCTTTCCCCATCGTCTGGTCCGGCCTCAGTTGTTCGGGGCAAGTGTCCACAGCAGAGCCCAGACTTGGGCAGAGATGTGCACTTCTGTAGATTCCGTCGAAGCCTCTGGGAAGCGCACACGTACCGGAGCCACTGTCCTGTGCCATACATGAGGTGTGCCCTCTATGGCTACATTGTCACCCCCAAGAAGCAGCGATTGCCCCGGGTCTAACCAACCGCAGCCACCTCAACTCTCAGTGCAGTCTGGGTTTGGGAAGGGAGCTGCCTGGCCTGGAGTCCTGCCTTCCACCTTCCCCTTTACTCCAGTTGCCCACCACTACTCAGGCCAGGCCACCACCAGCCATCATGAGTGAAAGGCTTCAGGGCAGGCCCAGAGGATGGGCTGACAGACTCGCCGGGAAGGGCAGGCTCTCTGGGCTCCAGTGCTCAGTGAGTCCGTGCAGTGAAGGCCTGAGCCACAGAGTCAAGTCTGGGCAGAACAGGCAGCCCCACCCCTCTCTCTCCTCTTCTGGAGACCCCGAGGAGACTGGCTTTGCCCGCATCTCCCACCAGGCTCCCCAGAAGGGAGCCCTGGGAAGAGGCCCCTTCCTCCGGGGCTTCTGGGACGGAAGACAATGGGTGGCTTGTCCACCTGCACAGCCCCTGCCGGGAGCCCGGCCGAGGCATCCGCCGGCCCTCGGCGCGGAAGGCGGCGCG